TGAAGGCAGAGGCTTAACTGACTGAGCCCCTGATTTTTAGTACTTCATAAATCAGGGGCATTAGTTCTTTCTTTCTGATATGTATTGTAAATATTTCATTTGGGTTTTAACCATGCAAATGTCTTTGTTTTAATTCTACTGGGGTAGAACTTATTAATCCATTTTTTGTTGAATCTGGACCGTGAGGCACAAAAAGCTCTCTGCTACTCCCAGGTTGTAAAGGGACTCTACCTGTGTTTTCTTCTAGTACATGTTTCTTCTAGTAAAAATGGTTTCTTTTTTCCTTTCCTTCTTTTTTTTTTTTTTTTTAAACACTTAGACCTGCAATTCATTAGTTTATTCTTGTCTATGGGTTAAGGTATGAACCCAATTTAATTTTTTTCTATGTGACTATCTGATTGTCTCTCTCCATATATATATATATAATTTATTCAAGAGAGAGAGCGAGCAAGAGAGAAGGAGCTGGAGGAGGGGCTCCATCCCTGGACCCTGAGATCACAACCTGAGCTGAAGGCAGACGTTAACCAACTGAGCCCCCCAAACGCCCCACCTCAATACATTTTAAAAATTCATCTTTTCCTGAGTGATTTGAGATGCAACCTCTATCAGATACTTAGTTCCCATGTGCACTGGTTTATTTCTGGACTTTCTGTTCCGTTCTACCAGTCTGTCTATTGATGTGATGGTGCCATTCAGTTTAAATATAGAGGCTTATTGTGGGCTTACTATTTGAAAGGTTAATGCTTCTCTCACTCTTCTTTTTAAGGATTTTTCTAGGTACAGTTGCTGCCTTTTTTCTATATGGACTTTAAAATGTGTCTGTACAAATGATTATTTGATGGTCAGTGACATAAATGATATAACCCAGATTTGACCGATCTCTTTCCCACAGGGCAGTCTGTGTACTGCATACTAGCTAGCTTCATTCCGATTGGTCAGATCTCTGTGTGCACTCTTTTTTTTTTGCCAAATGAGCCACAATATCTTTTTCTTGTGTTTTTTTTTTTCAGTTTTTATCTAAATTCCTGTTAGTTAACATACAGTGTAAGGTTAGTTTCAGGTGTATAGTATCATGATTCAACACTTCCATACAACACCCGGTGCCCATCACAAGCGCACTCCTTAATCCCCATCACCTGCTTCACCCACCCCCGCCCCCACCTGCCTCCGCTCTGGTAACCGTTGCTCTGTAGCTAACAGTCTGTTTCCCGGTTTGCCTCTCTCTCTCCTTCTCTCTCATTTTCCCCTTTGGTTTCTTAAATTCCACACACAAGTGAAATCCTATGGTGTTCATCTTCCTTAGACTGACTTAGTTCACTTATCCTCATAGTCTCTAGCTCCATCCACATCCTTGCAAATGTTCCTATTCAGTACTCATGTCCTTGTCAATCGCTTAAGTATTTTCAATATACCCTCTGCAAGGGGTGTGTGTGACCTGCTCTTTCTAGAATGACAGCATAAGGAGGCAGAAGTAGGGGCAGCTTGTTCCCTAGCCTGGCAAGGACCCAGTAATGAATCCCCTCAATTCGTTTTCTGGACTCTTGTTACATGAATAGATGCAAAGTGCAGTAATAGAAGGTTATACAAGGGCAAGAGATGAGGGCCAAGGACAGGTGGGCTTTCACTCACAGTACTGTGTGTTTGCACAGTGTTTTAGTATTCAGTGTGCTTTCATATACATTATCTTATTCCCCCAAGGAGATGATTGTGGCCAAGTAGGAAATGCCTTCATCACAGATCAGAAGACCTGGATTTAGGTCCTGATTCTACATGTCACTATCATATAAACTTATTCAAGTGGCTTCTTTTTTAAGATTTTATTTATTTGTTTGACAGAGAGAGACATAGCGAGAGAGGGAACACAAGCAGGGGAGTGGGAGAGGGAGAAGCAGGCTTCCTGCGGAGCAGGGAGCCGGATGCAGGGCTTGATCCCAGGACCCTGGGATCATGACCTGAGCTGAAATGAAGGCAGACGCTTAACGAATGAGCCACCCAGGCGCCTGAAGGCAGACTATAATCTTCTAATAAATAATACTCTGACAAGAACTTTAAATACATTCACAGTAGATACTTTATTCGAATGTCTGTATAAATAGGACTTGATGTTGAACAGGAAGAGGTTTTTCCAAAGGGTTAAAATTTATCCAACAACAGAACTTGGTCCTTCCCTTCAGTTCTTCTCCAAATTTGGTCGCCCCACACATCACTGTCAGAGGTCCACCCTTGCTAATCATTTCCATCACACACAAAGTCTAAAAGTCTTCCCGTGGCCCTTTCCATTTCTCTGGAAATCTCTTTAACTGCTTTCGGTTGTGACAGAAGTGTAAGGTTTTCACCCGTTCACACTCTACTGGAGCCCAAAACACATCCCTCCATTCTCTTGTTTAAATGGAGGCTGCTTGTCCCGCGTGTACAAATGGAGAACTGAACAGTAACTCACAAAAAACGTAGCATCTCCATATGTGGTAACTGTAACTTTGCTTTACAGTTTTTTCATTAAAGAATTAATTTTATTATCTTTCCACAAAGAAGTGATAAAGACACCTGTAAAAACTTGAGAAGGCACTTTAAAATCCCTAGATGAAAAATTCTAAAGTATAAATCATGATATGTCATCTATGATTTACAAAGAAGAATAAAATAAATTCTACAAGTCGGAATTTAGAATTTCTGAATGAGTTTGACAGGAATTTACTCAAAGGAATCAGAACGACAGGACTTAAGACTTTCTATTTTAACCCCAGTTGAGTTTTTAAAAAGCTCCCCAGCTGTCAGGAGGCGTGGCCCACGCCTCCCTTGCTTGCCCCGCTCCGGGTGAGGTTAACCGAGGGACGGATTAGTGCGTGGACGTGCTGGGCTCTTCGTGCAACTGACTCAAGTGGTCGCCTTTTATATTTTTCCCTTATGTTTTAAAGAAAAGTAAATATACATATGGCAAGAAATGTAAATGGTACAGGAAAACGTAAAATAATAGGTAAATATCTTTTTTTCCATAGCCTAGAAAGTCTGAGGTCTTCAAAATCATTCAGCAGTCATGTGAATCATTTGCAAATTGAAGCGAACCTTGGAGTCTCATTATCTAAAAAGAATTCTCAGTCCTTTGGAATGCTGTTGATTTTCTCATCTATTACCTCTGTTCCAGAGAAAAGCTATGCAGTCTTGTCCTTCTTAAAAGAACCGATTACAAAAGCGACATGCACTCTGCTCAGGGACAGCGAGTAGACACCTCCTTGCCCTCCGCGGATCTGTTCCTGGCTCTGGACAGAGGCCTTGGTGTCATCCCTGAAAGTCAGGTATCACATTTACTACCAAGGCATTTTCAATAGCCAAACTTCTCTTAATCGAAATGAATCACCTGGTCCTTGTAAAACAGAGGCTGAATTCTAACAGACCCGTGTTGCCTGGACATTAAATAGATAAATATTTTTATTTAACATTGTACAAAAGGGCAGAAGCCATAGAATCCCAAGCATTCAAGCTAAAACCGAGTCAAACTTTCCTAGAGAACAAAGGGAAGTGAGACAGCAAGGGACCACGGATGGCAATTCCTTCAGAGAAATTCCCATCCCGGGGATGAGAGGCTGGGGCCGGGGGGCTTCTTCCCCAGAGGCCGCTCTCTCTGCAGTGGGCAAGCAAGGCTTACAGAGACGGGGCAGGGGCTCAGCCAAGCCCTTCCTGAATGCCTCGGATCCTTCTGGCCAGCTGCACGTCCTTCGGGAAGAGAGTGACCCGGCCGGCGTGTAAGGACAGGAGATAGGCGTCCTCAAAGAGATGAACTAGAAACGCTTCTGCAGCCTGGGGGCAGAGAGAAACGGGATGCGATGGGGCGTGAGCTGCTTCGTTCTAGGAGCCCCACCGCCCGTGGTCTCTGAGGGCTCCCAGCGCTGTCTGAAAGGCTGCCCACAAAACGAGGGTGGACTGTGCCTGGGAATTCTGCTATCACCACAGAAAGATCTGGCCTCCAAACCCCGGGCGTTCCTTGATGGTGTTTTTAAAGAGGCAAGAGTCCGCGTGTGGCACATCTCAGTCAGCCCTGTGGAATTCCAGAATGCCTTTCTCCTGTCCCCACCAAAGTGAACCCACTTCTTACCTCTTGTAGGGCCAACAGGGCCTGGGCTTGCCAAGAGAAGTCCACCCCGCGAGTGAATTTAACGCATATCTCTCTTGCCTGTGAAGGAGGGGTGGGATGGGGAGCAAGGGAGAAAGGGAATGGGGAGTGGACAGTAAAAGAAGAGAGATTCAAGGGGAAGATCCTCTCCATGAATTTCTGTGGATCTTCACTTCTGTGATACCTTGTGGCCCTTAATCTTAGGACCTAACTAGCAGCTGGTGTCAACTCCTGGGAGTTGCGGAATTGGGATGTCTCCTGCTGGTGGTAGGGAGAGGAGGAGGAAATCTCCCAGGGTAGGAAGAGGGGTCAAGCATAGATGGATGAAGGAGTCCCTATTTCTATAACCAAAGAGCACAGTTTCAGAGGTGGTGGGGGTTAGAAACTAATTCCATAAAGAACCGGAAGGCACCCTTGGTGGGCTCATGTTTTCCAAAGATGAAGAGTCCTGTGCCAGGTTAGAGAATAGGTTCCCTTAGCCATTCAGGCAAGAGATGACAGAGTCCGCACTGCCGGGGAGAGTTAAAGAAAGGAGGCAGCAGGGGGTTGGCGGAGCTCACCAGGCGGCCAAAGGGGCTCTTCCTTATCAGCAGGCCCGTGCTCTTCTGAAGCGTTCGGATTTCCTTCAGAATCCGGGATCTCCGGGGACCACGCTGACGGGAGGAAGCGCCTGAGAAGAGTTGGGTTGGCAAGTGGATTGTCAGTAGCTGAACCTCTCAGCGTGGCTGGCACAGGCCAACTGTCAGATGGCCAGGCTGCCATTCACTCCACGGAAGCAGGGATTTCAGTCTATCATTTACTATGCTTATCTTCAGCAACTGGAGAACAGTGGATAGAGGCTACATAAATATTTGCTAAATGAATGAGCGGTCCTCTGAGGATTCATCCTCAGTAATTATCCTTTGAGGGTATTATCTTAAATGCCAACTCTTCCAAGAAGCCTTTCCTGATTCCCAGTCACTTCCAAACTGATAGATCACCTTCCTCCTCTGAGCCCTGCAGTACTTCGGGCCTCTTTTTCCCATCTAGATTAGAAACTCAGTTATTTTATTTTATTTTTGAGCTGGAAGGAATCTGAGAGGTTCTCTAGCACAATTCCCTGTCTCCGTTATCCTGAGACCCAAAGAAGTGAAGACAATTGGCCAGAGCTTATTTGTGGCCAAGGAGGGACCTTGGACATGGCATAACTTAGTACCTATGTTAGGCCACTGGGCTATGGAGCCAGAGCTTTTGGCTCAAAGACCAGTTCCAACAACAGAAAAAGAAAAAAAAAATCTTAAAAATATTCCCAAAAGTAGAGGTCAAAAAAATGAAATTCTGATTTGAAATTAAAAACACAAAAATAAAAAATAAAAACAAAAACCCACAAAAAAACAAAACTTTGAACTATTGTGTTGAAGAAGAAACTTAATTGACATTAGACTATGTAGAAGTGAATCAAAAGTCTACATCTCAAAACTGAGGAGATACAGCTAAATAGTACTAGAGGAAAATGTGCAGGTTCAAGATCGATTCTCTGTTAAAAAAACAAAAGCTTGAAATGGCAGCTGAGCTCAGTATTCACCTCAAGTGTTTAGGGAGAGTAGTACTAAAATAAACCAAAAGAAGATAACCAAATGTTCAAGATAATAAAATAATGAAAAAGGGAAAAACAAAAAACAGTATGATTGTTAGATAAATAAAATCAAGGACCAACAAAAAAAACACTAAACCACTCCTAAGCTGAACAAAGAATAAAAAGAAAAACCTCCATGAAAACTAACATTTTTTTAAAAATAAGTTTTTTTCTTTATTTATTTGACAGAGAGAGAGAGAGACAGAGGGAGAGCACAAGCTGGGGGAGCGGCAGGCAGGGGGAGAGGGAGAAGCAGGCTCCCCACTGAGCAGGTAGCGCAACCTTGAGATCATGATCTGAGCTGATGGCAGATGCCCAACTGTTTGAGCCATGCTGGAATCCCCCAAACTAACATTTTGAAGGAGAAAATTAGCTCCAGAAATGTTACTTAAGGTCCAGCCGAGGAAAGAGAAGGCACACCAAGTAGTTAAACCCCTGGGAGGGATTTAATAGTGACCTAATTACAAAGTGTAAGGAGAGCTGCATGAGCAAGTGGGTAATGGGGACCGGAGAAACAGGGGGGCCTCACACTCAGGAGTCAGGCTACTGGTGTCTACCGCCCCCCATTACTGTTTGGCAATCCACACTCCCTTGGAGGCAGCCTTTAATAGACAGATGCAGCCATCGCAGAAAATGAATGAACACAACCAATCTTACCAACGTGAGAAGGGCAACACTGTGTAAGGAAGGAAACAGACTCGACAAACAAAATAACCAATACTGGAGGAATCTGAGTTAGCAAGAAAAAAAGAGACTTTGAGAGAAATATGGGTAATAACCTCAAAGGTGTAAGGGAAGACCTGACATCTGGGCCCTGGAACCAGGGGTTGTGAAAAGTAACCAACTCTGGGGAGATATCATGGGAAAGAACGGGGGTTAGACATTTAATCACTGGGTCTTGCAGTGTCAGGATACAGAGTTGGGATTTAATCCCAAAGTAACAGGAAGCTATGGGAGAGTTTTAAGGAAGACAGAGAGGTGGTCCACTTACATTTTATTTATTTATTTTTAAAAGATTTATTTATTAGGGTGCCTGGTGGCTCAGTCTGTTAAAAGTTGGACTTCGGCTCAGGTCATCATCCCAGGGTCGCAGGATCAAGCCCCATGTTGGGCTCTGTGCTCAGCAGGGAGTCTGCTTCTCCCTCTCCCTCTGGCCCTCCCCCTCCTTTGCTCTCTCTCTCTCTCTCTGTGTGTCAAATAAATAAAATATTTTTTAAAAAGTCCTGGGGCTCCTGGGTGGCTCAGTGGGTTAAAGCCTCTGCCTTCGGCTCAGGTCATGATCCTGCGATCCTGGGATGGAGCCCAGCATCAGGCTCTCTGCTCAGCAGGGAGCCTGCTTCCCCCTCTCTCTCTGCCTGCCTCTCTGCCTACCTGTGATCTCTGCCTGTCAAATAAATAAATAAAATCTTAAAAAAATAATAAAGTCCTTATTTGCAAACAATAACCTACTTAATCATTTCGATGGAAGCAACTGAACAATAGAATTAGCAAGAGAATTCAGTAAATTGGCTGGGTGCAAAGGTTATTAAGGTTCAGGAAAGAAAAATAACCCATAATACACTTTTTTCACCCTGCTCTTAACTATCTAGCAGGAGACAAGTAAAACAGTTGTTGCCACAAGGAACAGTTCTTGCCCTGTGGGGCATCCACCAGACCCATCCACCACACCACAGTGCAGAAACTGAGGACCACAGACCTGTCTTCTTTCGCGATCCCAAACCTCAGGAAGGCAACAAGGTGAGAGCACTCTACTGAAGGCCCAACAATGCCATTCACTTAAGAAACACATACATTGCTCACCTCCCCACCCCCCACATAAGAAGGACACCTGGAAGGGTACCTTCTAAAAGCAGAATTGTTTGAAATTGTCACAACAAGTGGCCAAAAATTTTGCAACCTAAAAAAGCACAAACACTCAAAAATCCTGTCTCCTGGAGCAAGCTGTGTGACCTTGTTCAAGTACCCGGCCTGTCGGCGCATCAGTTTTCTCATCTGTAAAATGGGCACAATGTAAAGTTGAGCTAATTCACGGAAGGAGTGGAACACAATGCCTGGTTAGTGGCAAGTACTCAATAAATGCGAGCAGTAGCAAGAATGAGTATTAGGAGCCAGGCCGCTTGGGCCATCCGTTCTCCTGCTCGCTTTCCCAAGTCCCTTGCGGGGCCTGGAACTCGGGGCCAGGCCCGAGCAGGTGCGACCCGCAGCAGGGCTTTGCCCGGCCGCAGGGGAGCGCCAGCCGGAAGTCGGGAGATTCGGACCCCCGCTCCGCACGCGAGTTCGGTTTTCCGGTCTGTGAAATGGGAACGCGGATCCGGCCGTGCCCTCCTCACAGCCAGGCTGCAGGGAGGCCGGCTCCAGAGCAAGGGGCCGCGGCCGGTTACCTAAGGAGGGGGCCCGACGAGGGGGGCCGGCGGCCGGGGTCTCGGGGCGCCTCCTCGGGACTTCGGGCTTGCGACTCCGGCGGCGCGGGCCCATGGCGCGCGCGGAGGGTGGCGGCCCGGCGGCTCCTTCTCTGCCTTCGAGGTCGGGGGACAGAGGCTGGCGTCCGGGGAGAAGCCCGGGAACGTCCTGGCCGCGTGCCCCGACCGGGTGAGTGTTCGGCAGCCCCCCGCGGGCCCTCGGTTCCAAGGGCCCGCACTGCCAACTCACTGGCGGCGTTTTTTAAAACCCGAATTCAGCGACTCCCAGTGGCTGGCTCTGGAACGCCCCTGGCGCAGAGCGACGGCAGGGAGGGCCAATGGGAGCACAGGCCGGAAGGCGAGCGGCGCGCGCCGTGTGAGGACGTAACGGATCGACGGTAGGAACCAGCCAATGGGAACCTGGAGAAATGAAAGAAGGCGGGAATTTCTGCTCTGTTTGTGCGGGTGCTCAGTTCTGATGGATCCGAGCCTCGTCTTCGGGTTCCCTGTGGTTGGGCAAGATAGCTCTATTCTGGAGATTAGTTGCTGCGTTTGTAGAATGCGTACCTGAAGAGAAATAACTTTGTTCAAACATTTTGTGTTTGTCCTATCACCCTGAAGTGGTTTTTAAAGATGAGGAGACAGACCTAGAAAGAAAGGGACAAGCCCATGTCGCCCCCGGGGCCTCCCCAGGAACACCCCACGAATATGGCTCAGAAGCCAGTTTCACTGAGTGAACGTTACTGATGACTGGGGTGGCGGGACAGCCAGGATCTAACGATGTCTTGGCTCACACCCTCCCGCACTGCAGTAGAATCCTCCTAGGGGAAATGATTCCTTCCCTTCATGTTGGAGATAACACGCATTCTGGCCAAATGTACATCTCGGTGGTTAGAATAAAGATTTTATTTTCTACACTTTGTTTCCTTGTATTTTCTAAATGTTTTCCAGTTAACGTATCTTAGGGAAAACGTCATTACAAAATCAGCGATTTCACGCAAGCCTTGTTCCCTGGTGCATCCAGAGTGGAAAATAGTATGTTGATTAACCAAAAAAAAATTAAATGTAGAATTACCGTATGACCCAGAAATTCCACTTCTGGGTATACACTCAAAGGAATTAAAGGCAGGGACTTGAGCTGGTATTTGTACACTAATGCTCACATCGATGTTAACTCACAATAGCCCAAAATGTCCAAACGGATGAACAGATAAACAAAATGTAGTGCATACATAAAATGAGATACTATTCAGCCTTAAAAAGAAAGTAAATTCTGACACATTACAACGTGAATTGGGGTATTGAAGGCATTGGGGTAAGCAAAATACAACAGACACATGAGGAGAACTACTGTTTGATTCCACTTACATTAGGTACATTACAGTGGTCAAATTCATAGATAGAAAGAAGGGTGGTGGTTGTCAGAGGCTCAAGGGAAAGGAGGAACAGAGAATTAGTGTTGAATGGGTACAGACTCTCAGTTTGGGAAGATAAAGTTCTGGGGATGGATAGTGGTTACCACTGCATAGCAAGGAGAATTCAATTTCACTGATAATCAAAATGGTGTTTTGTTGTGTGCATTTTATGATTTTTAAGAAGAGGGGGGAAAGGGCAAAGGAAGGGGAAAAAAAGGGAAGCAGCTATACTTGGGGATACTCTGTGTGTCCACCGTGATGGAGGGTGGGGTGAGCAGTCTGGTCCAGGAGATCCATTCTTTGGTGGAGGCCTACGCAATGTTAAGATCTGACAGCTAGGGGCTCTAAAATATAAGCCGACTCCTTGAAAGGCTCTTGTATTTATTCAATATTTCTCTAGTTCAGACTCTAATCAATTGCGTTGTTTTACTGGTCTCTGCCTTTAGTGATCTTTCCAAACAGCAATTTGGATCCTATCACTCCCTTGCCTAAAACTCCCCCAGGGTACTCTAGGTCTACAGAGTTGTCAACTCATGCCACCGCAAAATCTAAAAGGTACAGCACCATGTGGGCGCCTGCCCACCTCTTTGACCTGTCTCTGGCCACTTTTAGCATTGCATGCTTATTTCCAGGCATACCTGTCTACTTATCTGCGGTTCTTGAATACATCACTTACACGTTTCTGAGCTTTCCACAAGCTCCCGGCCAGGGAGACTCTTGCCCGTTCTTTAACACTCAGCTCTTGAGTGGAGCTCTCTGGGCATTCTAGGCTGAGTTAGCTAATCGCTCCTGTACGGCTTCCTTTGTATCTCATACAAAGGCCCCTTATGCACATCACACTGTGCTGGAATTCTTTCTTTACACATTTGTCTCCTGTTTTTCTTTCCTGGATCCACAGCCCTCGGAGCACATCCGTTCTCAATACAGTTGGCTGAATTCTGGGAGAGTAGTCCTCTACTGAAGGTTTTTTGACAAGCGTTCCTAATGAAGATGGGTGATTTATAAACTTCTATATCTAGGGGAAATTCCCTGCTGACCTTAAGTTTTGAAAGGATGTAGTCAACAAAAGGCCAAAGGGGCTTTTAACTAAGGCAAATATGAAAGCATGAGGTTAATCTGTAAGTGGGTCAGGGAGGTATATGTATTCAGTAATGCGGAGAACCTCTTCTTTTTATAGGTTGCTAAGGCCTTGAGAGGTAACATGACTTGTCCAAGGTCACCCAAAGTCGAAGCTCTCTGACTTCTGCTTCTTTTCTCTACACCAGGTGGCCCTTTGCTCCACTCCTCCTATTGTCCTCAGCGGGGGTCAGAGCTCTGACCTCTCTGAGTGCTGTTTGTTAAGCAGAGACCTTTGGACAAAGTAAAGGCAATTGGAACCACTTGGTCTGCTGCTAAATCTCTCTGCCTTGTGGGCAGATTCCTGGTGGAGGAGCCCGAGGGCTACCCCAGGTTCTGGATGGCAGTTCTGCAGGCAGCCCTGCCCTAGCCCCCCCCCGCCCCCCCAAGACCTTTTTGCAGGGGGCAGGGACTGACTGGTCCGCTATGATGCACATAGTTTAAATTACAGTCTTCCAAATGGTGTTTACAGAAGACTGTTATCAGTCCTGATTTTGGGGTTCGGAACCTCCAACCAAACTTCCGCCATTCCGAACCCCCTTACTCCACTGAAAAACATTCCCCACAACCCTTCAGCCTCAGTGAGAGAGGGGTGGTCCTTACCCTCCCGCCCACATGACCTCAAGGCCTCTTGACTCACCCTCCAGAGGAGAAGTCAGCCTTGAGTGGTCGGAGAGAGGGAACGCATCTCCAGGGCCTGGGAGGGCACCTACTGTGGGCATGAAGTGTTCTTGAGGGATCTTGTTTTGTCTTAAAATAGATGGGAATTTTACATTCTCCTCAATGACGGTGTATTTTTTTTTCCATGATGGTGTATTTTAATAAGACATTTCTTCCCCTTGGAGAACTGATGCTCCGTGCTGGGCCTCTGCTGGGACTCCTGTGCCCCCAGCAGGCCACCCCAGAGGGCAGTGTGAACCCGACATGACATTCTGCCATGTGGGTGTTTACGGGCACCTTCAGTTTATTATTTTATGTGATTTTCACACTCATCCCACAAGATGGAGGGCCAGCCTCCCCATTTTAGAGATGTGAAGACCCAAAGATCCAGAAGTAAAGTGATTTGCCTGATTTGGGGTCAGGCCTGATATTTAACCATTGTGCTCCTTCCCTCTCATTAAAAAAAAAAAAATTGACAGTGTGTCAATTTCCCTTTTGTTTTTAAAAATAGAGCCTCAAATGCCATCGTAAGGCCCCAGTTATTTTGGACAAGGAAGCTGGAGTCCCCACCAGGCTCACCCCCCATTTCCTTCTGGGGTGCACACTGTGGCCCACAGAAGTTCTGGGGCCCCTGGGGACTTGGAGCTGGTGGCAGCGAGTGGCCCTCCCCTCCCAACAATCTAATAACCTGCTGATTCCCACACAGCCTGAGGGCTTTGCGTTGTCAAAGAGCCCTTCCCCCAGGATCTATTTTAAGGAAGGCATTCGGTGTTTTGTTTTATGATGGAGCTGCCCAGAAAAATGGTCTGAGGCTCCAGAAACTGCCACGGAGTGAGGAACTCCACAAGGAAGGGCTGCTCTGCTCCCTGGGGTCCCCAATGCCAGTCCCCTCTCTTCAGGGGTTGGGGGGCGGACAACAGCAACAGCACATGAAGCTTTCATTCTGGCCATGGAAAATTTACTCCAAAGACCCCAGAGAGACCTGTAAGGTGGGTGGGGCTGTAGGTCTGGAATCAGGCAAACCTAGCTGGGACTGCAGGCTCTGTGAAGAAGTCCGTGAAGCACCTCTGGGCCGTGGCTTCCTCATCTGCACCCACCCGTGCAGCTTGTTACACCGAAGGATTACCGCTGAGCACTTAACACATGCCCAGGACACCAGAATTACTCTAAATGGCGCAGTGCTAGTAAATTCGTCACCCTGGAGGGATATCTGTGGAGTCGGGTTGCTGGGGGTAGGGTTGAGGTCCAGATGGGCTCTGGATCCCAAGGGCCTGGCCGGAGTCTACAGCAGGAGAGCCTTCTTGCAAAACCACTTACATCTCTGGGCCTCAGTCTTCTCATCTTTAAAATGGAAGGTGAAGAGTTCGTAAAAGCTGCTATTAAGGGCTGCTTGGAATTCCCCATCATCCCCCTCCCCCCCGCCCCGGGCAGGGAGGCCTTGAGAGTGTGGGAGCAAGGACGCCAGCACTGGCATGGGGAGGAGGCACCATGAGCAGAGGAGCATTTCCAAAGAAGGTGCTCCTCCTTTCCCAGAGGATGGGCCCGGCTGAGGCTGGAAGGCACCGGAGCCACAGCAGCTGCACCTTCTGTTTTACAGACGAGGACCCCAAGGCCCAGGGCCACTAGGTAATGGGCTGGGGGACATACGCCGAGTTTGTGGCACAGTCCAGCTAAAACTTAGGTCTCCATGGCAGGGTTAGCAAATAGCCTATAGGTTCTAGAAAACACGGCGCCAAGTTCTGGTTTGAATGTGTTCACTGACCTCTCTTCTCTGGAGAACCAAATTTAGCTTATGATTTAGGAGAAAATCTTAGGGTTGTTAGTTCCTGCAATTCCACTTCATGATTTAGTGCTTGTGTTGCAGGAGGGGCTTGGGGGGAGCCTGGCAGGGGTAGGTCACCGTACTCAGGCCTGTGTGGGCGGCACAGGGGGTGGTGATCAAGGAGGACCTGGGTGTCTGGTCATCTCTTGGGGTAGCAGCTGCCCTTGGGGGGGGGGTCTGTGGGGAGGAGAGGGTGAGGCCTCGGGGACAGGCCACTGGAGGCTCACCAGCCCGGGCAGCCTTGGCCTCAGGGTGGACAAGGCGCATCCAGGTAGCAGCGGAGAACCTGCGCGAGGCTCAGCTGGCATCGTTGATGGGAGTCCGGGAGCCGCCGAGCAGTCTCTCGTGCTCGCCCTCCTCTGCGGGGGGCCGGCCCCTGGCCAGGCGGCTCAGCAGCGGGCGGTGCAGCCCATTGTAGAGCGCGGTGCCCATCAGGAGGATGAGGAAGCCCAGGATCTGCAGGGGGTGGAAGGCCTCCCAGCCCAGCACCAGACTCAGGGCCCAGATGACAATGGTCCGCAGACTGTCCAGCACCATGCGGGTAGTGGCGCTCAGCTCCTTGGTGACACTGATACCCGCAAAGTTGAAGAAGGCGATGCTGCTGATGTTGCCCAGCAACGCCAGGGCGATGAGTGGCTGTCGACCCACCTGGCAGAAGGCGTCCAGCACGTCCTCCAGCGTCCCGCGGGGGTTTCCACTGAAGGAGCCCGCCGGGATGTAGTACATGGGCACCAGCAGCAGGGACAGTATCACGAAGCCGAAGAGGCCTGTGGGGGCGGAGGGAGCACCCTGCTCTCTCTGCTCAACTCCGGCCCCTCCCCTCCCCCCACGCCCAGCTGAGCCCCACTGGTCCCCCTCCGGGAAGACCCTCTTCTGCCGGCCTCCCACCAGCTCCTTCCTGTTCACCCCGAGTTCACAGCGCCCCACCGAGGGGGCTATAGCTGCCCTGCTCCACTCTCATCATGTCTTCCAACTGGACCCAGAATAAAAATTACATTTTATACCGTGACCAGCGCTCGTATGCACAGGCACGTAACCACGCACGCACTGTCACAAAATAGCAGCTACCCTTCCCATGTTCTCTGGCGCTCTTCAACTCTATTGTGCTCATTTACAAAAGAACGGCAGCTGCGGCCACGAACGCTTGTTCTCACAAGCGCGGAAAAACACAGGTCTCGAATTCGGGGTCACCGGTCTGCGACTGGGAGCCGACGAGAATGTGAATCAGAGCACGGCTCCGTTCAGAGTCTCTGGGAACAAAACCGAGCGGACACAACAAGGTGTGTGATGCTGCAAGGGGTGGAGAGGGCTATCATGCCAGGAGCCCCTGGCGCTCGCACAGCTCCCGAACGGGGCCACAGGCCACAGGTGGCTGGTGTTGTGCTAGTACGCCCCATTGGCTTCATATTCTTAAAGCTTAAAGGTTTTGGTCTTTACTTCCCAGCTCAACAACTTTTGGTGGCTCCTCCCTGTTTGTCATTTAAAGTCTGGATTAAATCCACTTGCCTGACATTCAAGGTTCTCCACAATAAGACCCTGACCTAGTTAATTCCTGATCATTACCCCGACACCAAACCTGCATCTCACCAACCACTCCTTACTGGTTCACCACTCAGGGCCGGCTCCCCATGTTCTCACTCTGTCTGGAGTTTTCCCTCCTTCCCGCTCTTGCTATAGTTCGAACACCACCTTCCCCGTCCTGAAGGCACTCAGATGTGCTTGTCAACTGAGTGGTCTGAGTGCAAATGCATTGTCTGGCCCTTCCCTGTTGGCCAGCTCCTCTAGAGTGGGGCGCACATCCCTTTCATCCTCAACCTTGTCCCCTCTCCGCCCCCAACCCAAGCTCCTGGATCAGAGTCTCTGTCAGCACACTCATGGGAAAGGGAGGGAGGAGTTGGGGAGGGGGCTCATCCCCTCCCCGTGGGCCCTGGCACCTCGCCTGGAACTCCTGCTTGTGCATCCCCTCCACAAGCTACTGTCCAGGGTGCCCCCACAGCCATACCCCAGCCCCCGAGCCCCTGTGCTCACACACCTTCAGTGCCAACTGCCCGCAGCGGGTGCACGTTATGCCTGTAGACGAACTTCTCCTCGAGCACCATCTGGATGGAGACGATGATCTGGGCCATGATGATCAATAGGTCCCCTGTGGGGAAGGGAGCCAGGGTAACGCTGGGCTGCAGGGGGTGGGGTGGGGATGGAGCACAGCCACAGGGTCCCCGCTAGGGTGGTGGGCCCAGTGCTGGGGTGGACGGCTCCTGCAGGGACATGAGAACCCCCAGAGCCCCTGGTTTGGCAGGGTCCCATATGATTCACAAGGCAGTCACAGCAGCCCCATGCCTGGTCTCCTGGCCCCTGAGGAGTGGCGCAGGCCAGCAGCATAGGCATGTTATCACTCTGGGCTGAGGCTCCAGAAGATCCAGAGGCCTGTGAGGGGCACAGTGGGGGTAATAAGCAGGTCTTCTGAGATGCACGAGACTTGGTGATAGACATTTCCAGTTTAGTCCATCCTCCGAGGACCGGAAGGGTCCCGTCATTGTTGAGTAGGCTGCCAGGCTGGGTACTAGGTGAATGCTCCATAGACAGTGGGTCGCTCCCCCTCCCAGACCTGGCAGTCTGTGCGTGTTTATCACAGGACAAACCTTCTCCCTCCTCTGACCTCCCGCTCCTTATTTACCCCCTCTCACGCTACTTGCACCTTTCTGCACTCTAGCCGTCATCTTGTGAGCAGATGCCGGCCCACGTCCCCCTGTGCCCTCACCTAGGGCTTGGCACACAGGAGAGCTTGCAACAGTCCTGTGACCGACTGTGCTGGGCTCCCAGGGAGGGCAGACCAGGAGCGGTAGCCCTTGGGTCCCCACCCCTTGTCGCACCTGTGATCACTTCACTGAGCTTGTGCTGATCGTCGTGCTTGCTCAGGAGGTCGGCCAGGCCCACGACCACCAGTCCCGCGATGGTGGCAAGGATGCCCAGCCACTGGCTCAGCGCCAGCCTCCGTCCCAGGAAGGCCACCGAGAAGAGGCCCGTGAATATGATCACCGCACCCCGAAGCATCTGGAAGCTGGAGGCACTTGTCATGTTCAGGGCTGGGAGAGGGGACACATGATGTGAGCTCCCAAGGGCCAAGGCTACCCAGTCACTGCGGGGCCCTCAGGGCTGAAGACATGCCTTGCACACAGTGTGTGCTCAGCAAATCTTGCTCGTTTGCGCGTGTGCGTGAGTGTGTGTGCACATGTGTGTAAGTCTGGGATGAGGCAGGGGTGAGGTGAGCTGGGGTAGAGGCAGCTGCTTCACCAGTGCCCCCTCCGGCCCTCCACAGCCTGGCCCGGCTACTCACCCACATACATGATGCTGGTCCCCGTCATGTCGCACAGGGCAGGGGGCAGGAAAAGAAGGGGATTAAAGGGCTGCTGGGGATCCATGCTGGCATCTGGGTGCCTCGCTGCTCTGCACCGAAGCAGGAAGAAGGCCGCCAGGCAGGAGAACTCCCCCAGGAACATGCCCACTGCCTGCAGGGACGGAACCCTGTAAGTTCACAGCTGGAAGGAGAATCACCTTGGACAGAATTTTAACACAGCCTGTCTTCACATGGAAGCTTTCCTGTGACTTGGCACATATACCAGACAAAAGCAGAGCTGTTGTATGTGGAAGGCCAGACACTACCTCCTAGGTCTAAGCCCTAACCCCTAGAAACATCTCGATGGAAACCCTGAGGCTGTAGACAGCCTGGTCTGAAAACCACCAATCTAAGGCCAACCTCCGGTCAGTTCCGGTCAGTTGCTGGGAGAGCAGGGGCTGAAGTATGAGCCTCTGCTTCCTAGTCTGGCCACAGGTGCCTCCTGTTTATGTTGTCTGCTCCGTCCCAGTGGAGTATGGGCTTCCCAAGGATGGAGAGCAGGTTTTGCTACGGGGGTCGATATGTTCCAGATGGGTCCTGATGAGGACATGTGAGGGCTGGCCTTATAGCGTCCTGGGCATGCCTGCTCCCCGGGACTTAGGCAGCCCTCCCAGAGAGGGCTGTGCCCTCTGCCCCCTTCTGTGGGCACTCACACCCTGGCCTCTATTCTGGGGAGGGAGGGAGAGAGGGAGGGAGAGGATGGTTCTTCTGGAAGCAGGGGAAGGCTCCACCCCAGGTGAGAAAGCCTCAGGGCCTCACGGGGGACACCTGGCCAGAGGCCTGGCCAACAGGAGGTGGGGAGGGATGGGGCGGATACCTGGAGGAAGGGATGCTGGAAGCTGTGCTCCTTGCTCCCTCCACAGCCCGGGGCCATGAAGTTGTCTGCCCACCTGCAGCGGAGAGAAAGAGAAGGTCAAAGCCTTGGCACTGCACCAGCTCTGCAACTCTGGCCCTGGGGTCTGCGGACAAGCTTGCTCCTCTCAACACCAAGGGCCCAAACTTAGGGGACCAGGCTCAGCGTGAGACTCCACTCCAAAAGGCCAGTTCCTGCAGCACGAAGTCTTCATCTGGGATCAGCAAGGGGGCAGGGGGCGGGCTAGAAACCTTTAGCTGAAATGTAGCATATCCTCACATTGTGAATGTAGCCCCACAGTACCTGTGATTTTGTCACACATGTCTTGGCTACTCTTCCCGGCATGTCAGTCCTTGCAGGTACCGGGAAGTGGCATTTACATGCATTGCTACTAGAAAATCACAGTGATTAGACCCACTACTTACAATTTTCTGTGTCAAGAAGCGTCTACACACACATATTACTACATCACAAATTGGCTTTTTCAATGTTTTGATAACTTTATTTCAGTAAGTAGCTTTTTCTGTAATCCAAACCTTTCATTGCACTTTTTTTTTTTTTTAAGGATTTTACCCATTCATTTGAGACAGAGAGACAGAGAAACAAGAGACAGCACAAGCAGGGGGAAAGGCAGAGGGAGAGGGAAAAGCAGACTCCCCGCTGAGCTGGGAGCCCGACTTGATCGCCGGACCTGGGATCATGACCCGAGCTGAATGCAGACTTAACCATCTGAGCCACCAGATGCCCCTAACTGCACATTTTAAAAAACAATATTCTAGGCTTTAATGACTGTCAAATGGACCCATGGCACAAAAAATATCAGGAGCCTGTGGTCTGCAAGGGCATTCGGGCCCTTGGGAAATGACTTCCTGGCACAGACCAGGTGGTCACCTTCCTATAACCTGAAGGGTTTGGAGGGTCTTTCTAGCACTGACAGGGAAGCAGGTGGCAATACATGGCACTAGTGGAGTGGCCTCCCAGCCAGCACCCTGACAGATGGCATCACTGAGTCTGGCACACTTTCCCAGCAACACCAGACACAAGCCCAGAATCCTCTGCGGCACAGTGCCCTGGGCAGCTCCCACCAATTGTTCTGCACTATCTGCTGTCCCTGCACTAAAACCCTGGCCCCCCAATTTCACTGTGGCTGGGCTTTGTTGGGTCCCTGGGGTCTTGTCTAATCTCTTTCATTTAAAAGTCCTTTGGGGGGGTGCCTGGGTGGCTCAGTGGGTTAAAGCCTCTGCCTCCAGCTCAGGTCATGATCCCAGGGTCCTGGGATCGAGCCCCCGCATTAGGCTCTCTGCTCAGCAGGGAGCCTGCTTCGCCCTCTCTCTCTGCCTGCCTCTCTGCCTACTTGTGATCTCTCTCTGTCAAATAAATAAATAAAATCTTAAAAAAAAAAAAAGTCCTTTAGGGGCACCTGGGCGGCTCAGTCAGTTAAGCGTCTGCCTTTGGCTCAGGTCATGATCCCGGGGTCCTGGGATGGGGAGCCTGCTTCTCCCCCTCCCGCTGCTTGTGCTCTCTCTGTCAAATAAATAAATAAAATCTTAAAAAAAAAAAGTCCTTTAGATATTTGGACACTTTCCTACCCTCTTTTGAAGCTTCTCATCTTGTGGCTAATCAGCCCCAGCCCTTTCTAACCTTTCACTCCCCTGACTGCTGACTTCTGGAAGCACTCAGGGGGTCTCAGGCCCAGAGCTAAGTGCGTGGCATCTGGCCCAGACCAAGCCTGGCAAGACAGCAGCCCCTCCTTCACATTGCACACTCTGTCACTCGTGGACACGGCTCTAACTGAGTCTGTCACATCACGCAGCTGACTGGAGTCAATGCTGCCACAGGGCAGCGTCCTGGGGCCCTGGACCCATTCCTTCTGCAGCGCCCTGCACCTAGGCGGTGGCTGTCTCTAAACTACAAGACTTGGGACTTCTCTTTCTTAAACGTCCTTCCTTGCCATGCCTATGAAGAGCAGCCACGTGGTAGTCCCCAGCCCTACCCCGCTGGCTCATTTCTGCAACAAGCCTGAGGTTTCAAAAGCCAGGGGGAAGCCTTTTGTCTCCGGTGCCCCCCGCCCAACAGGGCAGCAAGCCTGGGACCTTGGGTAGGGGCTGGGTTTGACAAAGATCCTGGCCAGCCCTGGCTTCCCTGTGCCCTGAGTGTAGGGAGGGGAACAAGGAGCTCTTTGCCACTGCCTGGGAATGGGCATAAGGCGTGGACGCTGGCAGCAGGAAGGACAGGCTGAATGCGGTAGGGTTTCCCATCAGCCCTGAGGGCGAGACCACATCTGCTCATTGATCTGAACATACCCCAGGGCCTTTGAAAAAAACAGGGCCAGGGCGAACTTAGCTCACAGTGAGTGAGCTCACAGCGGAAGACCCCACCCACCCCAGAGATGCCAGGAGGGACAGTTAGGAGGGCTTGTGGTTCTTGGGAATGATGAGGGTCTTCAGGAGAGCTGAAGGGTGGGGAGGTCTCATAGGACTGGTTGGAAATGCGGAGAGAAATCTGGGTCAGGGGACCAGGCTGTAACCAGTCCCAGTACCAACGGCGCAAAGAAAGCCACAACTCAAGAAACTGCCTGCTCTGCGGGGTCTCATTTCTGCCCCATCTGCTGCAAGTTCTGGTCCCTGGATCCCCAGACAGGAGAGGATGTGGGATACTGGTGGGGGCCGCAGACCAATGGTGTGGCCCCTCACCCCCCAAGGCAGGTCAGGCTTGCTTTTGCAGAAAGAGCACTCTGGGAGGGCCTGCGGGAGGCAACTGAGTGTAACAGAGAAGCGAGGAAGAGTAAGGAGGCCCTGTTTTCCCAAAGTGCAGAGCCGACTGCCCCAGAGCAAGTCGGAGATGGACATTCCTAGAGCTGGAGCCAGGGCTCCTCCAGGAGGAAACAAGGGAGGTTCTGCCAAGCCCAAAAAGGTCACCTAGAAGCTCAGGGCATGGGCATGTGTGGAAGCCCCTTCCCCATCACGGTAGTACACCCAGATTCACAGCAGGCTCCAGAAGACCCCCAGACCCAGTGGTAGAGCCGCCTCCCCGAACTCCCCCTGGGCTGCAGCCCACACAGCTTACGGTGATGACCACTCACACACCCATCACTGTGTGCATTCAAGCCACTACCCCAAGCTCAGCATCCAGCAACATCTCTACTTCTGTCTCCCCAGCTCCCGGCATACAGGAGCTCAGACATTTTTCCTTTGTTCAACCAGTGGCATTTCTAGACTCGCCCTGGCAAGTGGGCAGGGTCTGCATGACTCCTCATTTCCCACGGGGGAAGATGCTGCCTGCCAGTGGGCCCGGCTGGGCTTGTCCCCCAGGGGTGAGCACTGAGAGCAGAGCTGGCTCTAAGGCTGATGCCGAGCTCCCTCTCCTGCCCCCAGGGCCTCCTTTGCTTCCCCCAAGGGGTAGGTCTGCCTCAACAAGCTGGGGCTGGCAGTGCTCCCAGCCTGGGAAATGGAGTCTTTTTGTATCTGGACGCCTAGGGCGGGCTTGCGGCCCAAGGGCTTGGGTGTCGTGGGGGAGGCGGGGGAACGGCTGCCCTTTCCAGCCTTCCTTCAGGCAAGGAGGAGTTCAGGCCTGCAGAGACTCGGGGCTGGAGTCTAGTGTCTCACCCCGGTCTTTAGACAGGCTTCAGCTCATTGCACAGGTACCGACGGACCCCAGAGAGCACAGAACAAGAGCCAGAATCCAGCCTCTGCTGAACAGGGGAGGACAGCAAGGGCCCCTAAGGTGGGACAGCTGTTTGCAAAAACACTTTGCTGCATGTTCTGATAAATGTACCATTCACTGAGTACTGACTCCACGCCAGGCCTGTGCCGGACACTCATGTTCTTCATTTTACGGACCGGGACTTCGTGGCTTGGGGCGGAGGGGTGGCGAGAGCCGAGTGCGGACCCATACAGTTAACAACGGGCAGGTCTAGGGCCAGATCCATCTGCTTGAATTTGCATTCAGAAAAGGCAGCAGAATCCCTGGAAAGCTCATGACTTTTGAGTCTCACATGCTGGACAAGTTAATAGTCTTCTCATCTATAAAATGGGGATAGTGAGACCAACACCGAGGAATGGTCAAGAGTAATACATAATGTAAGATAGACAGCCCCAGGGATCAGAGAGCGCTCGAGGGACTCAATTTGGTGCCGAGAGGGGCTCGTCCCCAGGGGTCTTCACCTCCAGCTCCCTGCTCCTTCCTCGGCACCAGACTTTCTCCCATCACCTTCTTATTGCAGATTCTTCCCACTCCCCTGGCTGAGGCGGAGAGAGGAGGCTCTGCAGATGGGCCCTCTCTCCTCTCTAGACAGCCTGTTCTAAAGGAAGGCCACGGTGGCGTGGGCAGGAGGCGGCCTGGGGGGACTCTCGATCTCGAGAGTCAGGCTGACGCTACACGAGAAGATGCCTTCTGCTGGCAGAGACCGGCTTCTTTCATCTATTTTTTAAATTAAAATTTAATTTAATTTAAATTTTTTAATTAAAAAAATTTTTAAAGTGAGCTCTGCACCCAACATGGGGCTCGAACTCATGATCCTGAGATCAAGAGTTGCACACTCTACCGACTGAGTCAGGAGACTGGCTTCTTTTAGGAGGGGCCTCGGCAGGCAGGCTGGGGGGCGGGCTTGCCTGGCCAGGGGTGAGTCACTCTGGCCTGGCCAAACTCAGAGCTCAGCATTCTGAGAGGCATGCACGGCCACGTGAGGGTGGCGGGTGCAGAGAGACTGAGGAAGTGGCTGATGTGGCTGCTTCGGTCTGACAGTGGTGTCCAGTACCCCAGCAGAATCTCTGCCACTTCCTCTGGCTCCCCCTGCTCCTCCAGCCCAGTGAGTCAGCTCCTTCCTCCTGCCTAGAACCTCCAGCCAGGCCGCTGGGCTGCTCTACTCTTCAGTGTCACAGCAATTGGTGATAAACAATCACTAGACCTCTAAGTATTACCCAATCTTCCTCGGTAGATCCTGCCTGGTGCCTGGGTTGAAGGGAGGGAAGTCACGCCCATTTTACAGATGAACCTGAGGCTCGGAGAGGCCCCGTGACTCATTGAATCCCATAGCTCCCACTCCTTATGCTCTCTTCACTTTACACACTACCCTCCAGGTTTGGGCTTTCCATGGCTGCTGCAAGAACCCCTTGGAAGCAACCATCCCAGGCCAGCTTCTGGAATTTAAGAGTGGGGTCAGCCACCAAGGCAAAAGTTAGAGCTGGCACAGGAAGGACAGCGAGAGTCCTTCCCTACTAGAGATCCAGGGGTCCCACTTTCCTGCCGGGGTCACCGCACCAGGGCCTTGATTGTTGGAGGGGAAGCCACCCCCTGGCCCCTCTCTGGCTGGGTGGGCTTCACAGCCTGCAGCCTTTCGGAGGACATCTGAGCCTCACTTAGTGAGCACCTGCTTGACCCTGGCTCTTGACATGTAGGACCCTAGCTGCGTTCAGGAGAATGGGGCTCTGAAATGGGCAGGACCCCACAGGGGGGTGGGGACTGTCTGCTGTGCAGGAGACCCATGGACAGAAGGTCTGGGTGAGGGGGGAGAAAGCAGCCAAAGAAAGGAGAAGCAGCCACTGGACTGGAGGGGCCCTTTGCCGAGGCCCAGGACCAGGGACAAGGCCAAAGGGCCAGGCTGATGGGTAGCCTCTGTCCCCGCCCCAGCAAGAGCAGCCCCGTCTCCATCTCCTGCAGCCTACCCAGAACTGCTGAGCAGGTAGAGTGGCCTCCTCCAGGGGACAGCTGCCCTGTGGTCCCCACACAGCAGGGGGCAGGTGCTCACCCACTTTCTCTGCCAAGTTTCATCTTCCCGGGACCCTTTACAGGTCAAGGAACCGAAAGAGGCTACTGGAGACACTAAACGAGAACCACGAGTACTGTGCCCCCCTCCCCCCGCCCCCGTTCCCCCATCCCAGAGGGAGGGCACTCTGGTGATGAGGGGGTGGGAAGCCATTGCTTGTGGCACTGCAACTTCCACGGGGCTGGGGCTGGGTGCTCTCTGTGGGGAGATGCGAGAGGGGATCCCCAAGGAAGTGGAACTTTGGGGGTACTGTCTGTAAAAGGACTGAGACCTAGTTTCTGGTCCCCACTCTGACGCCAGCCAGTCAGTCACTAAAAGAAACTTTTCGTGGGACCTAGACTATAAATTGTAGGCATTAGGATGGGAGATTTCTATGTTTCTAACAGCTTTAAGTGCCCTGAAAAATGACTTGAGAAACCCCTAGCGTCACTCCATATTGACAGTTAAGAGCCTGAATTCTTAAGCCAGATCACTTTGGTTCGAATATCAACTCTGCCACGGAACAGCTGAGTTGACCCGGGGTAAGCAGTCCCATCTCTCCATAGCTCGGTTTCCTGATCTGGGGACAGGGAGTTTATCTCCCTCATAGGCTGGTTACGGGAGTTCATTAGACTAACACATGAAAGGGCCAGGGACTGACTACAGCAGCTGCTAGGGACTTGCTGTGGTCCCATCCTAGTCCGTCTGTCCCTGCCAGGAAGTGCAGGTCAGAGCGTAATTTCACATCGGCAATCCCCACCAGGATGCACACAGCCCCTGTCTCACGTTTTCTCTTGGGGGGCGTCCTTCTCACAGTCTGGCCTTAGAACCCTGTATAGGGCCTACTTCTGGGGCCCATTTGAGTTAGGGAGGCTCCCGAAAGGCCCCATATCAGGTGACCTGGCACAGGACAGGGCCAAAGTCTGGGTCCCCACGTGCGAGTCTCTTTCCTGTCTCTTGGGCAGCCTGCAAGGGCAAGGTCTTCTGGGGCCAAGAATCCCAGGGCCTCCTACCTGACCAGGAAGGAGCTGAGTCAGTTTACTCCAGTAATAACTGGCCATCTCGACTCTCCTCGGGCACAGAAGCCCTGGGAAATATAGAGCCACTCTCTAAGCATGTGGCTGAGACCTTGAATGGTATGACAGACGGACAGATGGACGACTTGTTCTGCTGCATTCAGATCCTGAGATGGGGGCTCTCAGGCTGAGTCTCCTTTATAGGGAAGGAGGCCACAGGGCTCAGGAGACCAGCTCGCAATCCAGATGCAGACAAACAAGAGACAGTGGTGTCCACCCAGAACTCCACTTCCTCTGGAGAAGGGAGGACACTGAGGTTGTCAGGTGTGTATGCTCTGCCCCCTTCGCCTCCTACCCTAAGCAACTCAAACGATCTCTTGGCTACTTCAGCCTCCTTCCCGGAGTCCAGACGGTGCTTCACACCCTGTAGGTCCCTTATACACGTCTGATGAACTGGACAGGGTACCTTCCTCCCAGACCTCTCCCCTGGGGCATGTGAACAAATACCTCAAAAATGAGTAAGAGATGACTAGCCCCCCACCCCCCCAGAGGGCCTCAAGCACAGCCCAGAAGGTCGCTGGTGTGACCCTGCCTTGCTGCGGAGCCTGGAAGGGTCCAGCTGGAAGTGAGGTCTGGCTGAGACAGGGACACTGTCTACTCCTCTCCAAATGCCTCTTGGGATAGGTTCAGAGAAAGGCCAGGATCTGGGTACTGAGGGTTCTGAGATGGTAAACAGGGTGGGGCAGGAGGGCCCTGCCTTGAGATGGGGGCAGAGCAAGCGACAAAGCACTGCCAAGAGAAGGGCCTGCCTCCTGGGGCTCCTGTACATGGCCGAGGAGGCATGCTCAACAACCGCCCCCCACACCCCCGGCCTCATGACGGCCCTGGGGCCTCATTCCCTAACCTCCTGGGGTCTGTCTTCACCGTCTCACAAGCACGCACCCTTCTTCATCAGAGCTGAACTGCGCACCCAGACTCCTGTCTGGGTTCATGACACTTTTGTTTTCCCAGCAGAAACCCTGGAGAGGTCACTGGCTGTTTGCCTCTCTCGATCCTGTGGGTCAGGCCTTATGGCTTCATTCTGCACCTGGTCTCTGCCACCTGTCCCCTCCTTGCCTGCCTCACTGCCCCCTCCTCCCTCCCTCATCGGCCCAGCAGCAGCCTTGGAGTGGTCTTCCCTGCACTAAACTACCCTGCATCTTGACTACCCGGTTCATCATATCACTTATAACATGTCACTCCCTGCTCAAAAGCTCTTCTTTGATTGTGGGATAAAATCCGGCCTGGGCATTTGGTGCTAGTTACATACACTTCCATGTGGTCTTGCGGTTCCCTGCAGCGACGTCTGGCCACACGTAGAAAACCCACCAAAATGTCAAGGCCCAGCTGTGACCTCTCCTCCATGAGGAGCACACAGGGTATCCCCAGGTCTGTCGCGGCAGCCTGCCACGCTCACTGGTCACTCGGCCCTCACGGCTTCTACTGTAGTCCGCGTGCACAGTGCGGGAGCGCCCCTTCACCCCACCCCTGCCCAAAGCTCCTGGAGGGCCTGGCCTCCAGCCCGCCGCGTTGGAAGGGGCCGGAGAGGGAACTGGTCTAAAGATGAGGAAACTGAGGCATGGAAACGGAAGGGGACTCGCCGGGATAGGGGACTCGCCGGGATCAAGCACACAGCGATCAAAGCCGGGGCTCGGATCCTGCAGCGGGCCACACGGCCTAGGTCCATGTTTCTCCGGGCTGCTCGCCCCTGGGGGGCCCCCAATCCGCGTGAACCGACCGGAAAAACGAGGCGAGCCGGTGAAGCCGGGAAAGGAGAGCCGAGAAGGGGTAGGAAGAGGAAGGTGCGCGGGGTTCCCAGAGCCCTCGCGGGTCGCGGCAGGTCGGGCTGAGCTACCACCCCTCCCGGCGGGGCCCGGACTCACTTGGCCGAGAGCGTGTTGATGGAGCCGGTGACAAGCATGAGCCCGGCCAGGAACAGCTGGTACTTGGTCCAGGCCATGGCGGCGGATGCGGGGAGCGGAAAACTGCAGGGACCCCCGCGACCCTCCTGGTCCCTCCAGAAGGCAGATACCGACCCCGTCACCCGGGGGTCTCGGGAGCGAGCGCTTCCGGGCCGGGCGTCACGTGACCCACACCGCCGCGGCCCGGCCCCGCCCCGCCCCTCGCCGTGGCCCCGCCCCCGGGGTGGGTGCGCTGGGCTTTTCCCTGGGTCACTCGTGTCCACAGGGTGACAGTGGACAGTTACAGGCCCAGGTCTTCCCGTTTGTAGAAGCGGCTGATGGGGACAGTACAACGAGAATGCACTGTGAATGACAGAGCGTTCTGTAAACCGTTTAAGGAGATCGCGAGCCTAATGGTGTCAGAGACATCACAGAGTGGATAGGACTCCTGGGAATCTCTTCTGTACAGGGAACCCCCAGGGAAGCCTGGAACGTGTCTCTGGATGAGTTGCTCACATCTTCCAGAAAAGTGGCGCAGGAATCTAGTTCCAGTTCCCCGGGAGACCATTTTATAGCTGAGGAAAGGAAATTGAGAGAAGCAAAGCTTAGGGTCATGCCAGTGAGGGATGGAATGGGGGTATGTTTGTAGCTTCTTCAGTCTCCCCTAGATCCGTGCCTTCCGCACAGCCCCTTCACCAGTGCTCCTTCCTGGATACCTAGGATGCTGCTCTGAGGCATCTGTGGCAGAAAGACCTAGTGGTCTTGCTTGCTGAGGATTTAGGGCTTTTAAAATCCTAGTTCTCAGCTCCCTGGCGGTCCTCTGTCCTCATCTCCAGGCCTCCAGTCTGCATCCCATGCCGTGTCACCCCACATGCTAGAGTGCAAAGCCTTGGGGCAGCTCCTTCAGACCTAGTGGACACATTCTCCCCCTTACTGCAAATCTTGTTACTTCTTAAGGTACAGATGTAAGACCTGTCTGCCAACTCCTTGTTCTCACCCTAAGACTCTTTGAACTTGTGAAAATGACCAGAGTTGAATCACAAGAACTCTGAAGGGACTGTACCAGACCCCTTTATTGCAGGAAGACCTGGCAGGGAAGGTGCACATGTGGGGTTCTGGACAAAAGGTTGGAGGTAACTAGGGGAAGGGCTTTCCCAGAGGAGGGAATGCTGGTGGGATGGCACAGGGGCACGAGTGAGCACTGAGTGTGTCTGGGATCCACAGACCTTCTGGGAACGTTTCTGCTTCCTTCTTGGGAGCCTGCTGTCTTCAGTCAGTGGGGGAGATGCAGATACAGAGGAAGTTCTGAGTTTCCTTTCCTCCATAACACAACTAGTTTCATGTGATTTCAAAGGAATCCATGGAGTTATAAAAAAATATTAACTGAGACCCTGGCCCTGTAGGGAGGCATGAAGTCAGACAGAGCAGACTACACCAGCTGGATAGCCCCATCCCTATTGGAGACAGTTCCTACAGTCACAGTGACACACTCAGTGGGGCTCTGGACCATTTTCCCCACAAGTCAAGGATTCTGTCCTGAAGTAAATATTCTTAATGGCCAGTGGTGTCGCCACCCCGATATGATGTCACTAGCAGCACAGTCTTGGTCTGTGTCCACAGCCACATCATACAATGACTTTTAATTTATCACAGTGTTCTAACCTTCCGTCAAGTTGCTGTCCCAGGAAGATTTATTGGCAAATATACATTGAGAACCCCAAAGTGTCAGGCCCAGAGCCAGGAATTGGGGCCCCAAAGACAAGCAAGATAAGATCCCTTCCCTCAAGGAGTTTGGGATTTTGTGAAGAAGAGGGGCGAGCACACCAGTCTCATGTAGCAGTGTAAGGCGCAGAAGGAATTGGGGAGGGGCAGGAGCGAGAGCGTGACAGTAACAGTCAGTGCTGTCTTGACTCAGTGCCCCTGTCTGTGTCCACCTCTACTTGACCTCAGTGTTCAGAGCAGTCCCACAAAGCTGGAATCCCAGGGAAATTTGAGCAGGGACTTGAAGGAGAAGCAGGATTGCTCCAGGTGGAGAAGGGGGCATTCCAGGCTGAGACAACTATTGGTTTGTCACCTCCATGGGTGTGACCAGCGAGCCTTCACACTGGGGGTGACCAGTGAGCCTTCACATTGGGGGGTGACCTAGAGTGAGGCTCCAGGTCTCTGCCAAACTGGCTAGGCTTTACAGGTAAAAACTAGGGTTGACATTAGTGTCCACAGGTGGCAGTGAGCCTGGGGTTAAGGCATCAGAGCCTCAGGAGATGGAAAGCCTGAGAAGCAGTTTGAAGTAGAGAAGAATCTAAGTGGGAATGTTTGCAAAATCCTCTAGATTCTTATTTGGTGAAATTCAAGGGAGGAGCTTAATGCGTATGTTGGATACAAATTGACCTCATAATTTTGGTTTCCCGGGTTAAGTAACGTGGCCACATACCAAACCTCAAAACTTTCTGAGCCTGTACAGAGTCAAAGGCGGGCCCATCTTCTCTGTGTGGTGCTCTTGGCCATCAGAAGAGCAGTGTCTTATAATTGCTCACATTTGATTGTCTTGATTAAAGACAACAGCAGGGGTGCCTGGGTGGTTCAGTCAGTTAAGTGTCTGCCTTTGGCTCGGGTTGTGATCCCAGGGTCCCAAGATCGGGCCCCACGTTGGGCTCCGTGCTCAGCGGGGAGCCTGCTTCTCTCTCTCTCTCTGCCTGCTGTTCCCCTGCTTGTGGTCTCTCTCTCTCTCTCTCCCTCTCACCGTCAAATAAATAAATAAATCTTAAAAAAAAAAAAAAGACAACGGCTTCCATGAGGATTGGCGTTACATGAAAAGGAGCAAATTTAACAAATTTTTAACGAAGGAAGAAATTTACTAAGTGTTAAGGATGCCCCTTCCACAGAATGCTGTGTGGATAGGCTAGTGGACAGAGATAGGACATTTTTCATGTTTCTTTAAAAGTGCAGAATCTTTAGTAGTGGGCTGACATCTGTGCAAGTTGCCCTACACTAGGGAAGAGAGGGAGGGCAGCTTTTGGCTGGCTCTGGCTCTTAGAGCAAAGTGACCATGGTTCAGTTGCTTCATCACTCAGTGCCCTACTTTTCTATCTGTAAAATGGGAACAATAACATTCAGCGCTTGTGTGCAAAGGGAAGGAGGACAGATGGGGAAGTGCTGTGGGAGGCCCCATGGGGAAAGCCAGTATCCCTGCTCTGAGGTCAGGGCTGGCCCAGCAGAGAGGTACACAGAAGGACCCGAGGCTGTGCATTAAAAAGCACATCTCATGATTTGCATAAGTGCATGATCCAGTTTTCTGGCTGGGGACATTTTGAACAAATTTGCATGCTACCTTCAAAGAGCCTCTGATTTCCAGAGTCAAATAGAAGATGCGTCACTGCAAACTCCTGCATTTGTATTCAAAGCTGACTGTCTGCCTAGTGTCTAGTCTGAAAGACTGAACATTTCCCCAATCAATGTAATCACATTTTGGATTAGGAGAGTAACTTTACCCAGGAAGGGACAGAGATATGTGGACAGACAGTCCGGGTCAAACCTGTTTTGTTCTGAACAAGCTTTTCCTGGATGTCCTTGGGCCATTTCCCTCCTGTGTCCTGTTCCCTTGCTAGAATGTGACCTCCTCATAGACAGGTGACAAAGATTTTTTGCTTGATCAAACTTTAGGTGAGCTCTTGAATCCTCTCCCGCACTCGCATGGGCACTTCCATAAAAATCCAGTTTTGGCAAGAGCCGTGCTAAGTTGGTTTAACTGGAACCCCCCACTCTCCATATCTGATCTCTTTCCATATCTTGCTAGGTTTTTCATCCTCCACCGTCTCCCAGGTGATGTCTGATCCTCTGGGCCTGTCTTCAGCAAGAATCCTGTTCAGTCAGTTTAGGCAGAATCTGAGTTATCCCTCTTAATCATTTTCCGTGCACCGACCTCCCCTCCCCACTTCTTGGTTATAAATTCCCACTTGCCCAGACTGTATTTGGAATGGAGTCCCATTCCACACCAAGGTCTCTTTTCCTGTATTGCAATAGTCCTAAATAAAATCTATCTGTATTGCTTTAACTGCTCTCTGGCTCTGATTTTTCTGCGACACAGGGCTCGGGGCTTGGTATCCAGTTGCGATCTCTCCCAACAGAGTGGCTGCGGCAGCGTAGCCATCTGAGGCTGTGGCTGGCAGCAAGAAGACGAGGCTTGGGAGGAAGTGGGCAGGATCAGGTCCCAGCTGTGTCCTGGGACAGAAACTGGGACCGTGGAACCAGGTCTGACCAGACCTGTCCTGGGAAAGGAATGTGAACGAGCTATCCAGGCAAAGAGGCGGTAGATGTTGGAGTTCACCAGCTTTTACCGGCGGACTTTGGTGGTTTCTATGGTGACTGGAGATGATTAGATTAGGAGTCACCTGCTCCTTCCAGCTTCAGACTCTCAGAAGGTCATTTTCAAACCTTCTCTCTGCCTTTCTTTCTTAACATCTTTTTGGGAGCCCCTCCCGCCTTCCTTTGGAGCTTGTCGCTAGATCCCGGAAGCAGGTGTTTGCCTTGGTCCTCTGGGAGCTCAATCAAGTCAGATCCAGATAAAGCATGGACTTCCGGTTAAATACGATTTCAGATGAGCAATGAGTCATTTTTTAGTATAAGCATATCTCCAATATTGTCTGGGGGTACACTTATACTAAAAGATCTCAGAGATGATTCATTATTTATTTGAAATTCAAATTTCACCGGGCTTCCTGTACGTCATTTGCTCAGACTGGCAGCTCCTCTGGTCTGGCCCGCAGCTTGGCTCCCTTGCTCAGGGAGAATGAACCGTGATGATGGCTGAATTGAATGGGTGTGTCATGAGGCAGATAGCTTCCTTCGAACATGCTGTTGAGTAAGCCCAGGATATTTTCTTTTCCAGACTCTGTTAAGTCTCTAAATTTACACCAGCCTCTGGGAAGTGGGCCTCATGCAGGAGAAGCCCCAGGCTCCTGTGTTTAACACCCTTTGGAGGAGGAGTGAGGGCATCTGTAGGGGATTTTAAGGCGCAGACCGGGTTGAGAACCCTCCCTCCTTTGCATCTGGTTTCAGGGATCCCAAAGTGAATACCTTGTCTAGCCCCACCCCATTGCTTTTCAGATTAGGAAGTCCAGACCCAGAATGGAGGTGACTTGTCTAGGTCAGTAGTGAGTGACTTGTGAGCTATATTTATGGACTATGTGT